AACACATCTCACCTTAGGGCCAGGTAACCCAGATAACACATCTCACCTTAGGGCCAGGTAAACCAGATAACACATCTCACCTTAAGGCCAGGTAACCCAGATAACACACCTCACCTTAAGGCCAGGTAACCCAGATAACACACCTCACCTTAAGGCCAGGTAACCCAGATAACACACCTCACCTTAAGGCCAGGTAACCCAGATAACACATCTCACCTTAAGGCCAGGTAACCCAGATAACACATCTCACCTTAGGGCCAGGTAACCCAGATAACACATCTCACCTTAAGGCCAGGTAACCCCACACCTTACCTAAAGGCCACATAACCCACCTCACCTATAATTCCAGGTAACCCAAATAACAAACCTCACCTGTTATCCCAGGTAACACACACAACACACTTCGCCTGTAATTCCAGGTAACCAACACAACACACCTTACCCAAAGTCCACATAAACCACTCTTAAAATCCAGGTAGCTAAACAACAAAAGACCCCACATGCATCAGTGATCACAGAACAACCTGTTGCATGTGTCAGCCCAGGACAATCCTCCATCTAACCCTCCAAATAAATACACTGGCTCAGTGACCGCTCACCTGCAGCAGGAACACACTTTACAGGTAGCCAGACAACTATGTATCACCACAGGTAGCCAGACAACTATGTACCACCACAGGTAGCCAGACTATGTATTACCACAGGTAGCCAGACAACTATGTATCAGCATAGGTAGCCAGACAACTATGTATCACCACAGGTAGCCAGACAACTATGTATCACCACAGGTAGCCAGACAACAATGTATCACCACAGGTAGCCAGACAACTATGTATCAGCACAGGTAGCCAGACAACTATGTATCACCACAGGTAGCCAGACAACTATGTATCACCACAGGTAGCCAGACTATGTATTACCACAGGTAGCCAGAGAACTATGTATCAGCACAGGTAGCCAGACATCTATGTATCACTACAGGTAGCCAGACAACTACATATCACTACAGGTAGCCAGACAAATATTTATCACCACAGTTAGCCAGACAACTATGTATCACCACTACAATGCTATGCAATGTAAGCATACCAATGTACGCACACATACATACAGCAGAGTCATACAATACTTTCTGATGCAGTCTGCCAGATAGTGAGCACATCAATGACAGACTATACAAACTTCCATGGCCGAGCTTTTGCCTTGTGTTCTAATGGCTTGACAGGTGATAAGACGTTCTGCACAGACAGCGAGACTGAGCCATATAGGACTAAACACAGTGCAAAGAAGTCCATCCTTTCAACTATCTAAACCAGACTCTGTCTAAGATAGGACATCATATCAGCACTATATACAACTGCATGCATCCCTTGTGGGTTCCGGGGTCCCAGTTTGTGGAAACAAGAACAGACCCACTGACCCCTAACAAACATGTTGTAACAGTCGACTAATTAATCCTGATTCCTTCACAGTTGGAGTCCATCTGCCTGAGAGGTCAGGAACCATCATTCTGCTTACAACAAAAGGCAGATCTGTAAAAAAGACGTGCACACAAGACTCACATTTTGAACTAAGACTAACAACCAGAACTTTCTGCTGGAGTTTACAGCCAGTTAAGGCTAAGATAAAGAAGAAACATTAAAGGCAGACAATGGGGTCACAGTAGCTCATCTATTGTACACAGACTGGAACCCTGCTCTGACAGTTAGCAAGCAACAATCAATGTCTGGACACAGACCAGGATGAGAACCTTCACATTTGTTGCAGGCTGACACTGTGTGGCCAGTTATCTCAGTAAAAGTGTGAAACCCGGATACATTAATGAGACAATCAAGCAGAGACAAAATCAAATGACACTTTATCTTGGAGAAGGGCACTGTGCAATATACACCTCATAACACCATAACTTTATTTTATGTGAAAAACAACTAATTCACCTAGTACAAGTGTTCTAACACCAAGAACATGTCAAAGAACTGTCTACCACCTCATAAAATTAAAAACACTGCAAACTTTAACAGCAAAATGTTCATGTTGTATAATTTTATTGTTGAACCTGGTCGTATATAAAAATGGAATACATATTTTGCCAACTGTCACACATACACTTCTACTGTGAATTCATTAAATGAAAATATGGTGGAAATTCAAATAATAAATCAATTACACTAAGGTTTATAAATAGTCATACTTTGTTTTCAGTCATGATAATTTCCTACAAGCCTGCGGCTCAAGTAGTTTACTGACAAGGATTTCACCTGAATTAAACAATACCGCACAGACTTTCTAGTCTGGCTAAATTTAACAATCCTGCACAGACATTCTAGTCTGGCTAAATTGAACAATCCTGCACAGACATTCTAGTCTGGCTAAATGGAACAATCCTGCACAGACATTCTAGTCTGGCTAAATTGAACAATCCTGCACAGACATTCTAGTCTGGCTAAATGGAACAATCCCGTACAGACATTCTAGTCTGGCTAAATGGAACAATACCGTACAGACATTCTAGTCTGGCTAAATGGAACAATACCGTACAGACATTCAAGTCTGGCTAAATGGAACAATACCGCACAGACATTCTAGTCTGGCTAAATGGAACAATACCGCACAGACATTCTAGTCTGGCTAAATTGAACAATCCTGCACAGACATTCTAGTCTGGCTAAATTGAACAATCCTGCACAGACATTCTAGTCTGGCTAAATGGAACAATCCTGCACAAACATTCTAGTCTGGCTAAATGGAACAATCCTGCACAGACATTCTAGTCTGGCTAAATGGAACAATCCTGCACAGACATTCTAGTCTGGCTGAATGGAACAATCCTGCAGACATTCTAGTCTGGCTAAATTGAACAATCCTGCACAGACATTCTAGTCTGGCTAAATTGAAAAATCCTGCACAGACATTCTAGTCTGGCTAAATGGAACAATCCTGCACAGACATTCTAGTCTGGCTAAATGGAACAATCCTGCACAGACATTCTAGTCTGGCTAAATTGAACAATCCTGCACAGACATTCTAGTCTGGCTAAATGGAACAATCCTGCACAGACATTCTAGTCTGGCTAAATGGAACAATCCTGCACAGACATTCTAGTCTGGCTAAATGGAACAATCCTGCACAGACATTCTAGTCTGGCTAAATTGAACAATCCTGCACAGACATTCTAGTCTGGCTAAATGGAACAATCCTGCACAAACATTCTAGTCTGGCAAATGGAACAATCCTGCACAGACATTCTAGTCTGGCTAAATGGAACAATACCGCACAGACATTCTAGTCTGGCTGAATGGAACAATCCTGCAGACATTCTAGTCTGGCTAAATTGAACAATCCTGCACAGACATTCTAGTCTGGCTAAATGGAACAATCCTGCACAGACATTCTAGTCTGGCTAAATTGAACAATCCTGCACAGACATTCTAGTCTGGCTAAATGGAACAATCCTGCACAGACATTCTAGTCTGGCTAAATGGAACAATCCTGCACAAACATTCTAGTCTGGCAAATGGAACAATCCTGCACAGACATTCTAGTCTGGCTAAATGGAACAATACCGCACAGACATTCTAGTCTGGCTGAATGGAACAATCCTGCACAGACATTCTAGTTTGGCTAAACTGAACAATCCTGCACAGACATTCTAGTCTGGCTAAATTGAACAATCCTGCACAGACATTCTAGTCTGGCTAACAACTAAGCTAATCTTGCTGGCGCTGACCAAACTCAGGACAATGTTCACGGTGAGCCAGAGTCATGTTAGTTCCGTACAAAATTAGCAGACGACTGGAACCCAACAAGGCGTACCTCGTGCTCAGAGATTGTTTTCTTTTCCTTCGGTAATGGCACAGCTTGAGCACATCACCCATACATGCCGATCGCTTGGTAAAAATATAGGTCTAAAGACAAGAAAAAGGGACTTTAAAAAAAAATATACCTAAACATCAGATGAAGCAAAGTGAGACCAGCAATAATAAGCACACCCTGGAAACATAGACCACATCAAAATCCACAACCCACAGCCTGAGTTACTTAAACGGAACAATTAAAAACCTAATACCTGTATATAAAATGTTGCGGCAGGCAGCAGTAGGTAGCTTTTTGTTTAACCAGTTTCTTCCCAGCAGAGAGCCACTGTAACACAGACAGTGGTGGGTACTGGCACCTTGTTTAGACACTCTGTGGCAGGTACTGGCACTTGTTTAGACTCTGTGACGGGTACCAGCATTTGTTTAGATACTCTGTGACGGGTACCGGCACTTGTTTAGGACACTCTGTGGCGGGTACCGGCACCTGTTTAGACACTCTGTGTCGGGTACCGGCACTTATTTAGACACTGTGATGGGTACCAGCACTTGTTAAGACACTCTGTGCGGGTACCGGCACTTGTTTAGATGGGTACTTTGTCGATGACTAATATAACTTACTAGCCAACCAAATAACTAAGTAAACTGAGTGAAATAGTTGTATTAGAGATTTCGTTTATGTGCAGTTTGCAAAAGATATAAAACAGCAAGAAATAAACATTGAAATCCGACCCAACATTCATCAAAACAATTCAAGGAAATCAACAACAATATATGTTATCTGTACAATTTAGCCATAAAATACGATGCCTCAATATTTGTCACCCAATATTCTGCTTTGAGCGTCTCAACCATAAACTGCATTTGATCATTCAGAATCTGCCCTCTCATCCAGTAGACAGAGTTCTCTTGCAAGCCCTGCATTATTCAGGCATCAGTACACACACAAGCACACACTGCCAGCAGTCACCAATACAAACCCACATGAGATGCTACGTGGATGAGAAACACCACAGCCACACTGTATTAGGCAGATACACCACTGGTGTACCACATCGATGGCCCAGATAAAGTAAAATCGTACCATATTAAAAACAGCGAATGCACAGCAGCAACCAGTCACCAATTCAAACACAATCTAGGGCTTTCAAAACATAAATAAACTGTCCACTAAGAAGCAAACTAAGGTCAGTATCCTTGTAAACCATTGTAGACGGCCTGTTTGCTTTCTTGTTTCAGTATTTCCTTGATACCTGCACAATAATAGACAAAATTGAATGCGACAGGACAAAAAACAGGTGCAGTCACCTGCAGGTTAAGCTTGACAGAACAAACAGATAGGCTTATCTGTAGGTTAAACTTGACAGAACAGACAGACAGGCTTATCTATAGGTTAAACATTACAACAACAACAAAAAACGGGGTGATCAATAGGTTAAAAATACAAATACTGAAACACTAGAGAGGGACTGGCAGGTTAATCATATAAGCAGACACACAACAGACAGGACTACCTGCAGGTCTGACGTGGAGACACACCAACAGACAGTGTTGTGTGCAATCCGAAGATTCACACTATTGACGACCGCTAATGAACATGAGATATGACGAGAGACAAGACATCACTTGCCGACAGAAGAATAGGACAGAAGAGAGTTTAAAAAATGGTAGGAAGGGCAGAGGCTTGTATTGATATGTCCTGATGCCGCAGTTCGCGGGAGAGCAAAGTCTCTGAGCTCCATGTTGGAGGAAAGGAATTATCCTACTGTCATTAAGTACAGTGATCGTAACATATTCATTTCATGGACATACATTATATATCTGTGGAGAATTGCTGAAAAAACGTATTGATATTGCCTGTCAACGTGTTCTCAAATGTAGAAGTTTCAACAGTTGACCTTGTTGGTGGCATTTGTATACCTGTCGTTGGGTTTGGCATTTGTTGCCAACTAGAGTAACAAGTTACTTAGACTTGGTACAGCATGGACCTGGGACGACATTTCAACAGAATAATCTATGTACAGTACGGGAAAATAATAATAATAATCACCGTACAACAGACAGGACTACCTGCAGGTCTGATGTGGAGACACACAACAGACAGGACTACTTGCAGGTCTGATGTGGAGACACACAACAGACAGGACTACCTGCAGGTCTGATGTGGAGACACACAACAGACAGGACTACCTGCAGGTCTGACGACTGTAGAAAGCACATACAAGACATGGATCTTCAGATTAGACAGAAGAAATAAGTGAAGAGTAGCCTAATTACAACAGAGACATGAACTATTTGAGATGTGCCTGCTATACTTCCACTGTTCTGTCTTCTGCAAGTTGTCTTTTTTATAATTCCAATTCTGTAATTCTCATTTAATTTTGCACAATTTACAATTTGCTGAGTTCTTCTGGAAGTTAAACATTGTGTTCTGTAAATCTAGACTGATGAATTTCTGCATTCTGTTTGTCAAGATTTCTTGTCACTTGCTGATTTGATTTCTGATCTGGATCCCAACTTGACAGTAGTGACTCAATGTCTAATGGTTGTAAAAGCTGTCATCCCAGACTAAACATTGAATCATAGCTGTTGCCTGCCTACAACAGTATAAGAGTTATAGCTACTTCACAGCAGCTGAACTGGGAACATTAATACCAGCACAAAATGCAATGAAACAAAAAGAAGAAAAAAAAAAGAGAAATGCCATGCTCAATTTTACCATAAGGAAACAGAGAGAGGGATAAAGAGAGCTAGAGAGAGACTGAGGCCAGGCAGTTGATGCAAGGAGTACCTTTCTTATCTTCTTCTGTTAGAACTCCCTTGGGGAAGTCAATGTCGAATGTAATGTACAGAGAGCCTTTCACATTGTTGTTCTCATAGTTTGGCATTCCTTCCATGGGTTTTCTCATTCTGGCACCTGGCCATGTGATCTTGTCCCGTACAATATGTACCTAGGCAACCAGAGACAAAATGAGTTACTACCGACACATTCTGCAGAAATGCCATCAACAAATCATGAAATACAAACATGAATCCTTTGCAATTAAATAATCAATGACCCAGTTGTTCACTGTTGCAATGTGGGTCACACTGTGACTCACAGACTAACCAGCATGCTACATTGTATTCTGTGCTTTCTTTACCTACCACATACTTCTTCTTCTTATTCACATTCCCTGCCTGTAACTCTGGCGGAAAGCTCTGGTTGTTCATCCACCCCTGCACTTCAGTCTTGTTCCAGAACCTTAGTGTTGCGTGCACATCTATTTTACATATATGACTTATGTGTATGCAGACTGTTGGTTCCTTGACTCTCAGGTATATGGATTCCAACTGCAAGCCCTTTAAATATTTGACTCAAACAATATGCTTGTTGGGGAGGCAGTGGGTCTGTTCTTGTGTTCCCCACAATGGGACCCCAGAACCCACACATTTAGTGTTGCCGATATTTAGTGAGCACCAGGTTGGCATGTTACTGTACCAACAAGGCCACTAGTCCCCTCACAAGATTAACTGCACCAGATATTTCCCTCCAAGTTCCATACAGGTAAAATGGATGTACATGCAAATCTCAGGCCCTGGCACAAAGCCAAAGTCCAAATGGATTAAAAACCAGGAATTTCCGCCAGAGTTTAGAGTGGGTGAACAAAGAAGAATTCCTTGAAAGCCGATTATTTTAACAGACTAAAGATGTACAGCATGAGTGTCCCCTAGTGCAAGAGGAAACAGTCAGACAAACAACAAATACAACCACAACTTGCCATGTGTCCATCCAAATGTTTGATGTCCATTTCAAATCCTGTCAGAGCATCAGCCAAGGTCACTGTCACATTAGTATACAGGTCGTCACCTCGCCTCTCAAACCTGGCATGCCTGCATTGTCAAAACATCAATCATATCAATGGAACTTTTAGAGAAAACAATATAATATTTATATAGGCCCCTTTCCCAAGCTCTCCTGTGTATTGTGGTTCTATAGAGCTAAACATTTGTTTCATTGACCAATCAGCAGTCAGTGAGAGATATGGTCATCACTGAGTCTAATATACACACACACACACACACACATAAGTGTGCGCACCTTTAACTCTTAAGATCTATGACAGCTTCGGAGGCTAGCAGATCATTCCACATATGAACAGATTCAACTGATGAAGTAAATCATTGCCTCTGTGCAGTGGTCCTTAAGTTTGCTGACAACTGAACACCAACCTGAGAACAATCCTATGTGGAGGGCTGCAATGAAATATATCTGAAACCCTAATAATACAATACAATATAATAAGTAAAACCTGACACCCCCCCCCCCCCCCAAATAGGAAATCTACAGTGGACTAATGCAAAATGAAGGGTGTATAAAACAAATGTTAAAACAGGGATTAATTCTATGGCAATCACCAATGAGTTCACAAGTTGAGAAGCTCTGCTAATGACTAACAAAGGCTAGGTAAACATAAGAAAATGATTACTTGGTTTGTTGTATCCTGAATCTGAGATCCCCGGGTTCCCCATCAATGTGAGGCTCACCTGTACAATACAGAAAAGACACTATTGTACTTAAGTCCTGGCAATCTGCACACGTTTCATGAGAACACAAAAGCTGTCACCACAGATGAACATTCTATCTCTGTCTGTTACAGGTCCCACTAGCCATCCCTATACAGGACAATCCCTCAACAGTCTGTCTGGATCTATCTCTGTCTGTTACAGGTTCCACTAGCCATTGCTATACAGGACAATCCAATAACAGTCTGTCTGGATCTATCTCTGTCTGTTACAGGTTCCACTAGCCATGCAGGACAATCACTCAACAGTCTGTCTGGATCTATCTCTGTCTGTTACAGGTTCCACTAGCCATGCAGGACAATCCCTCAACAGTCTGTCTGGATCTATCTCTGTCTGTTACAGGTTCCACTAGCCATGCAGGACAATCCCTCAACAGTCTGTCTGGATCTATCTATGTCTGTTACAGGTTCCACTAGCCATTCCTATACAGGACTATCCGACAACAGTCTGTCTGGAAAACTGTCATGATCATCAACTACAGCTCCTACCTCTGTAACTGTAATTCTCAAATTACCTTTGATATCGTCAGTCCATCTATATTGTGGTTTTCCTCTCCTTCACCAATGTTCCCCCCTACTGGTTACATTCTTCAGACCTACACACCTTTTTTTTTCATGCCCAAATACATTATATATGTGATTATATTTGTCCTCATAACCAATGTTTTTCAATGTTAAGTTCTTGTAGTGTAGATTTGTCTGCTCTCAAGTGTGCCCAAGGAATTTTTAGAACATGTAAAACGTATATTCATAGTTAAGTTTCACGCTTCTCTGTTACCACAAGAAACTGAATCCTATAGCATTTACAAATTCTAAACATGAACAATAAGTAATTATTAACAGAGTTATCGCCATAGTGCCTAGTTGACTAAAGCAAGCAAGCAGACAAGAATAATGACAGCAGAGAAAACAACATAGGCAACACATGAAAGAGGGGAGACACAAATATTACCTTCAGCTACAAATGGGTACTCCTGGTCATCTCTCATTCCTGGCTCAATCTCTATCTCAAGCAGCTTCTCCTCTGGAACAAACCTACACCAACAAAGAAACAAAAGCATAAAAACAGGCAAAAGGCAATCACCACATTCACTCCACACACACACAAACAAACACATGTTAAAATGCAATTGAAAAATATTCAGTAAGATGTTTCAACAAAAACTAAAAAAAAGTATGCCAGTAGTAGGGCTCACAACAACACGGTGGCTGTTTAACTGGCCTGCCAGCAGTGACTGTTTCGCTGGCCTGCCAACACTGTGGTTCCAGTTCAATTCCCAGGAGAGGTGGGACTTTTGTGTGCAACCAGTAAAGCACTAGGATCTACTTCTGCCTTTCTAACCTACAATACAGCAATGGCCCTCAGCCAACTCACGCTGTCGTTCTATCCTTTGCTATCGTTCGCAGCTCTCCCCATCTTTTTTAACTTTACTCTGTAGCTCCATTATCCATAAGTTTTTTTTTGGCTTGTCTATTGTCAGATGTGTCAATGATAACAGTACTACTGTCTACTAAAAATGTTAACACCAGACAATTTATCAGAGAGTTTGTGATATTTTATTCTTCAATTATCATTTGTTATCCCACCCAGCGACATGTTGTTATGGGTGTAACTGAAACATACCACAAATCCTGACTCCATGCTATACCATTTTTTGGCTGTAGAAAACAATTGTACCAAGATTCTCATGCATTGAACATTTCAAACAAATCTTTAGACATCTCATGTAAGTGCTCATCAATGGCCAGCTTCTCTAGATATCTGCCCTATCTAGTCAGGAATGATTACAACTCCCCAATATTCTCAGCTCCTGTGGAGAAAGTTGCCGAGAATCCCCAAACAGGCATTTATATGGGAAATGCAGGGATCAAGGAGGGGAGGACACCCACACACAAAAGAAGGTGGATGAGAGAGGCCAAAGCTGTTGGACTGGATTCAACCCTTGATACTGAACTAACTGCACAGGAATGAAAGGAATGCAAAAAAAAAAGTAAAGTCTGGAAATGTGAACCAGCGCCATTGCACACGGTTATAAACCATAAGTGCTCTGCCACCAGTACGGACAGCTGATTAGTGTTGCCGTCCGCACTCAACTCTGTAGCTACAGCGACGTTCCTCCATTCACCCCAGAGTGTCAACTCTGGTACCCATTTCCTAGAGGCTGGGTGAACCCCAGGAACCGCCCGGTTTCGAGCACCGGCCGTAGGCTGCAGCGAGTCGCAGCTGGTTTTGAAAGCGAGCCTCTTATTGACTGCACTAACGCGGCCCTCAAACAGAATGTACTTGTAGGAACAGAATGCGAGCCCTATGTGACATATAATGGCACAGGAGGATAAGTAATGAATACTCTCAGCCTGCTGTTAGACTTCAGACAATAACTGCCAGAAATTCAAGAAGCTGACACAACACAGAATATGTTACCGTATATTTGGACACTCATCACAGACTTGCTGCTGTGTCATAGAGAACCTGCCAGGACCTAGCTGCTGAGTCACCATTTCTGTACGACAGTTGCACTTTCGCTTCCCTTTGGCTGCTTTAGCAACAGGTTTATAGCGGAGCACCTGGAGGTGAAGATGGACACAGTGTTACAAACAACCGGGTCTCTATCTGTGTGTACCGACACCTCCACCCACTCACATCACTAATGTGCACATCCATGTACTGATACCTCCACACACACACACACACCAGTAATGTGCATACCCTTGTACTGATACCTCCACACACACACCAGTAATGTACATACCCTTGTACTGATACCTCCACACACACACACCAGTAATGTACATACCCATGTACGTGAACTCTTTTGATTCAGAAACATCATCATCATCAACTGTCATCAGTGTACACTAACTCAGTCTATATCATCAGTGTACACTCAGTCTATATCATCAGTGTACACTCACTCAGTCTATATCATCAGTGTACACTAACTCAGTCTATATCATCAGTGTACACTCACTCAGTCTATATCATCAGTGTACACTCACTCAGTCTATATCATCAGTGTACACTTACTCAGTCTATATCATCAGTGTACACTCACTCAGTCTATATCATCGGTGTACACTTACTCAGTCTATATCATCAGTGTACACTCACTCAGTCTATATCATCAGTGTACACTAACTCAGTCTATATCATCAGTGTACACTCACTCAGTCTATATCATCAGTGTACACTCACTCAGTCTATATCATCAGTGTACACTTACTCAGTCTATATCATCAGTGTACACTCACTCAGTCTATATCATCGGTGTACACTCACTCAGTCTATATCATCAGTGTACACTCACTCAGTCTATATCATCAGTGTACACTCACTCAGTCTATATCATCGGTGTACACTCACTCAGTCTATATCATCAGTGTACACTCACTCAGTCTATATCATCAGTGTACACTCACTCAGTCTATCTCCAGACCATGTCCTGATTTATACATTAGCTGCCCTCTACTGCTTCCTTCTCCAATTGTTGCTTACGAAAGGGTTTCCAGTAGACTGCTGTCATGACACAGTCAAAGCACCTGATCTTTCTTTGTGTTATTTCCATAGGAGTATCCATTTCCCCCCCAAAAAAATTGCTTTTAAACTCCATAATTTTTTCCAAATTTTTTTTTTTAGTCCTGCAGAAACAACATAAATGATAACTGTATAAAGAAGCACAATGCTATATATTTATTTCAACTAATATGGACCAGAAAGTCCAGACAGCAATGGCAAACCACTGAACGTTAAATTTTTTTCTGAAATCACAAACAGCATAAAAACGATGGGACTGGTTCTGCAATATTCCGTACAGGGAAGTCAAACCCACCTCGACAAAGTTGCCATTGTACAATTCCTCCAAGGTCACATCAAGATCTAGAACCACATCCCCACCACGAGGAATTTCTCGGTCTTGCTCTCGGACTCCACCAAAGCCAAACCCGAAATCTCCACCAAAAAAACTGAGGAAGAAAATCCTTGTGTTAAACAGCACCACATGAATCAAACAAACCAAGAGCTATGCTTTCATTCTCGTTCTTCTGAGTGTCTTCAACCAGACATGTTAGGACTGCAGCAATTTTGTAGACACAATGCCCAATCTGTGTCTTGATGTTTCCTTGATCACAAACTCTGTTCATATTTTATCACCACATGTCCAGAGTCCTTCACCAAGTTGCTGGTAACTTTCCATCTTCCTTGTGCAATGAAAAGGCAATCGATCACATCTGATCACCGGCCTCCTGATATAAGTTTTCTGACAGAAGGATCGAAGAAGAAGAAGAAGATCACATCCCATGGCAATGGCGAAACCTGCTTATTTAACAAGTCTTTCCCAATTAGAATATGAGATTTCAGGACCAACGTTACGCGCTTCTCAGATGTTAATCTCTTAACCAATCTACAATAATTTTCTCCCTTTTGCCTTGAATGTTTTTAGACAGCTGTATGTGAATGAGATGCTGGCTGCATGTGAATGAGATGATGGCTGTATGTGAATGAGATGCTGGCTGTATGTGAATGAGATGCTGCCTCTCAGGTCTGAACAACCGGTGTCAAGACGTCTTTAGGCACAGCTAAGTAAAGATGTATTTGATCACAAGATCTAATGTGGGGTCGACAGGGCAAAGTCATCAACCTTTTCCCCCCGCAAAATCTTAAAAAACAATTGTCCAAGAACCAGTGGGAAGGGGGGGGGGGGGGGGGGGAGGAGGGGGGCCTTTTATACAGGTCCCCAATAGATTGTAAAAACATTTATTAATCTACAGTTATGAAACTTCGAAGCATATAAAGGATTACAAACAGGTCAATAAACATCAACAGGGTGAAGTGTTAAATGAACACATTCCCCACGGCCTAAAAATCAATAAGTACTGGGTGACTCATTCAGTGAACCCGTGATCTCCATCACTGAGGCTTTCAGGAAAAGAAGCCCATCGGTCATCAAACAGAAAAAAAGCCCATCGCTCATCAAACAGGAAAAAAAGCCCATCGGTCATCAAAAAGGAAAAAAAGCCCATCAGTCATCAATCCTTGCACACAAGGTGAGAGTTTTTGGAGAACTACCTGGACATGTGAAGTTTGCAGTGAGGTAGTGGTGAACTGGTGCATGAAGAGTGGATGAGATCATTACGAGTATTTGTGAGTCTGTAGATCCACCATGGTGGTTGTAGTGACTAGAAAGTTGTACAAAACTTTCAAGTCATGGAATGATGCAGACATCTGAGAACAGTATGACAGATGGATTGAAAACATTAGTGAAATGGTCCCACTTGTAGTTCAGTGGTGCACATGCTATCATCTATGTACCTTTTATACACTTTTGGAAGTCAGCATCTGTGTTCCACAAAGTATGCTGGGACCCTATTAACAGTAACAAACTAAATTATTTAACATTAGCATGGACATCAGAATAACAGACATGATATTACCTTGTAAATGGATCCCCTCTCATATCCCCTTGTTTAAGTCCTTCTTCTCCATGTTTGTCATAAATCTTTCGCTTCTCTTTGTCTGATAAAACCTGGCAGAAATTATCAACAGAAATGATAGCTAGGTTTTACCAGCGATCAACAAATAAACAGTCACAATCACTCGGTTTTTGCTACTGTCCTATTTCTTGTAGAGCATTCAGTATATCAGCTTGGTCTATGGTTTGTCCAACCTTCACAGCAGCCTTACCTGCAAGTGTATCAGCTTGCTCATTTCCTTGCACACCTGCATGCCCTGACAGGAACATGAAACTGATTATTCTCAGAGACAGCAACCACTCTCTTCTAACCCAGTCCATCTCTTTTCACATGACAGAGCTGGTAGTAGTAGAGAATATCTGTACTGATATTGTTACATTTGGTTGGAACACTTTATTTAACATTGAAATACTTCAGACCTATGGAGGCAACACGATCCAGCCAAATCTAATCTCAGTGTGTCCACACGTGTGCAGCTCAATCATGACCTGGTGACATCCTAGTGTGCCTCTCACAAACAGCAAGTCATTGAAACATCTCTGTTGCAACTGAAGTTGAATGCAAGTAGAGCTCTGTCACACAATTCCAGTGAAGTGATACTATGGCACTGGGTTGGGCATCAGTCTCTACACAAGTTTCAACTGCGATACCCACAGGTACTGGCTGCGATACCCACAGGTACTGGCTGCAATACCCACAGGTACTGGCTGCAATACCCACAGGTGCTGGCTGCAATACCCACAGGTGCTGGCTGCAATACCCACAGGTACTGGCTGCAATACCCACAGGTACTGGCTGCAATACCCACAGGTACTGGCTGCAATACCCACAGGTACTGGCTGCAATACCCACAGGTACTGGCTGCAATACCCACAGGTACTGGCTGCAATACCCACAGGTACTGGCTGCAATACCCACAGGTACTGGCTGCAATACCCACAGGTACTGGCTGCAATACCCACAGGTACTGGCTGCAATACCCACAGGTACTGGCTGCAATACCCACAGGTACTGGCTGCAATACCCACAGGCTTCAATACATGGCTGCTGGCTTGCTCGTTCATCACCTTTGACCCCAGACTATCCAAGTGTGTCCTGTCAAAAGTAAGTCTTCCAAATGATTCTCAACAAACGAAGCTTTTACTCCAGACTATCCAAGTGTGTGTGTCCTGTCAAAAGTAAGTCTTCCAAATGATTCTCAACAAACGAAGCTTTTACTCCAGACTATCCAAGTGTGTCCTGTCAAAAGTAAGTCTTCCAAATGATTCTCAACAAACGAAGCTTTGACCCCAGACTATCCAAGTGTGTCCTGTCAAAAGTAAGTCTTCCAAATGATTCTCAACAAACGAAGCTTTTACTCCAGACTATCCAAGTGTGTCCTGTCAAAAGTAAGTCTTCCAAATGATTCTCAACAAACGAAGCTTTGACCCCAGACTATCCAAGTGTGTCCTGTCAAAAGTAAGTCTTCCAAATGATTCTCAACAAACGAAGCTTTTACTCCAGACTATCCAAGTGTGTCCTGTCAAAAGTAAGTCTTCCAAATGATTCTCAACAAACGAAGCTTTTTACTCCAGACTATCCAAGTGTGTCCTGTCAAAAGTAAGTCTTCCAAATGATTCTCAACAAACGAAGCTTTTACTCCAGACTATCCAAGTGTGTCCTGTCAAAAGTAAGTCTTCCAAATGATTCTCAACAAACGAAGCTTTTACTCCAGACTATCCAAGTGTGTCCTGTCAAAAGTAAGTCTTCCAAATGATTCTCAACAAACGAAGCTTTTACTCCAGACTATCCAAGTGTGTCCTGTCAAAAGTAAGTCTTCCAAATGATTCTCAACGAACGAAGCTTTTACCCCAGACTATCCAAGTGTGTCCTGTCAAAAGTAAGTCTTCCAAATGATTCTCAACAAACGAAGCTTTTACTCCAGACTATCCAAGTGTGTCCTGTTAAAAGTAAGTCTTCCAAATGATTCTCAACAAACGAAGCTTTGACCCCAGACTATCCAAGTGTGTCCTGTCAAAAGTAAGTCTTCCAAATGATTCTCAACAAACGAAGCTTTTACTCCAGACTATCCAAGTGTGTCCTGTCAAAAGTAAGTCTTCCAAATGATTCTCAACAAACGAAGCTTTTACTCCAGACTATCCAAGTGTGTCCTGTCAAAAGTAAGTCTTCCAAATGATTCTCAACAAACAAAGCTTTTACTCCAGACTATCCAAGTGTGTCCTGTCAAAAGTAAGTCTTCCAAATGATTCTCAACAAACGAAGCTTTTACTCCAGACTATCCAAGTGTGTCCTGTCAAAAGTAAGTCTTCCAAATGATTCTCAACAAACAAAGCATTCCAGCTAAATGTAACAGTATCAGTATGAATATTTGCTACTGGTACCAGCTCTGTTGGGACAATACAAACAAGTGTTTTAACAAAAGCATCATCATCAAGTAGCGAGCCAAGTGACAATCATGTCTCTTCCAATCTAGAAATAGCCCACAGTCCATCAAGCATTTTATCAATTAACAGAGGTCACTTCAACAATAACCAGGGGTCATTTCTACAATAAACATGGGTCACTTTGACAATAACCAGGGGTCACTTAAACAATAAACAGGGGCAGAGAAGAGCGGTACAGAAGACTAATCCTTTTCACGACTAAATAATGAATGCATTCAACGTAAGACTCATCTTGATTCAGAAACTGACCAAAAAGAAATTGATTAAAAAAAATAAATGATAATATGTTACAACATAGTGAGGCTGACTCGCTAAGAATATCTTTTAAGGTGAAATAATGCCTAAAGTTCAAACTGCCCATATTATTCACAACCAATATTGGCTCCGAGGCCGTTGGAGTCTAAAAGAGGTAATAGACATGACCTACACGAGATGTGGAATGGGGTCAGCATCACACCAGCCACCTTCACTTCCCTTGACTTTACCTGGTACCTATTTACCTGGCTAGGTCAACCACTAAGTCAAGGTCATGTTTGAACAAATCCGGCTCCAAGCAGATTTGAACCCACGACCTCTGGATCTACAGACAAGTGCCTGGCGCTACACCACAGCGGCACAAGAGCACAGACATTAGTGGACACGTGAATGACAACAAGATGAAGCTTAACCACCAACCTCATAGGCAGCCCCTAGATTCTGGAACCTGGCTTCTGCCTCCGGATCATCTTGATTTTTATCTGGGTGTAATTCTTTAGCTAGCTTCCTGTAGGCTCGTTTGATCTGGTAGGTATCAGCTGATCTGGACACTCCGAGCACTGCATAGAAGTCTCTCCTGCAAATTGACCAGAAATACATTGATGATCACCATTTAGCAGATCTCTGGCCAATCTTCCTGGCTCACGTATAATCATGCCTGACACAGAATGGCAGTTTATATGGAGGAACAAATGACACTGACTGACATAGACGAGGCAGCAAAACCAGACTAATATAGCACTATTCTATTGTTACATGATTACAATGACAGACCAGATACCAGTTAATGACTGTTCACCATGTCATCATCAGCACGCTGCAGAAAAGGTAGCATGAAGTTGTTGGTGATGGACAAGTGGACCAAGGTTAAGTAGGCAGACTGTGGGACACTTGTAGGAGCGGGATGTATGTCCACAGAATGTGATGTTCATGGCAATTTGTTCTGTAAGAGAAGCATACTGTCAACTGGTTTGTGAGATGCAGTTGATTCCACATGTTTAGCAGTTTGGTGCAGCAATACAGAAACAAAGATCTATATAAGACAGTGCCAGTGTTACTGTATGCAAACCTACGAGGGAACCCAGCAGAAGACACCTGAAAATACCAAAGTTATTCCCTACACTTCCACTTTTTTTGCTGCCAGACTTGCCAGCCATTGCTGGGTCAAAGGCATATTGCGGTGGTTTATGTTTGTTAACAAAACTGATGATGGTGGTGAAATACTTTAGGTGAGAGCAATTCTGACGACAAGGCAAACAGAATAGAGTCAAAGGGAAGAGTCGTGGGTAGCCGGCGCTTTGGGAGTGATAGTTAGCTATAGTCAATACTATAGTAGATTAGAACAAATTAATAATTAAAACACGTTTTCTGTGTTTTATTTTAAAGTTTTAGTAGTCCTCAAATATTGTATCCCCCAATAATCTTCTTCTAGCCTTGTCTGTGGAAGCCAATCAATACCAGAGTTATCATAAACGTAAGGATCAACCGTGTCCAGCCAGCCAGAGTAAAATCGACACGAAGGAGTTCAAGACACGGACAGCCAATCACAGCCGACCACGCACCAAAACATTGCCATTCAACTTTCGCTTCTCTAAAACTCATTTTTTCTTCTTATACTTGCAGTGAAAAAAGAAAAATATAATACACACGTGGTGAAGGGCAATGAAAACGTTGTCTCTACACAAGAAGAAGGCAACTCACCCGGCCAGGACGTGAAGAAACAAGAGACACAAGTTAGCCAGCAGACACAGCCATGTTACCGGAGCCGCCATGTTGAAACTGGTGTTGTCTATAGCACAGGGCGGCCGAAATTATTTAGCTATAGTACCAAATTTTTTTTTAGAAGGTACTAAAACACATCAAACGGTACCAAATTGTTATTTGTAATATTTAAAAAAAAAACTATTACAACATGTTAAAATACACAATCACACAAATTATATGGCTTAATTTGGTATAACTGAAATGTTCTGTCAATTATATAATTGCTGTACTATTCTGCACCCTCCTATTTTTTAATCCGACCGATACAAAGCTCTCCTGATTTTCAATTCGTGCAGTTAATGTTCTTGAGCAATAACCCTGATGATCTCATCAATTTATTCATTGCTGAAGTCTTCAAAGAAGAGCGATTTTGTTTTTAATCCTAATATTTTTAAGCAGAGAAAAAAAAACTCTCTCTGCACTTGCAGAGGCACGTGATAATGCCTAAAGACTAAGAATAAATGTTGACATTAATGCAAAGCGAAGGCGATTTCATCTCCATACTTTTATTTTGATATTGTAAACAAAGTTAATTTAGGTTTATTTTCTGTAGTAGATGGCTAATCTTACACTATAAATTCCCTCTATTTTTACCCTTTCCTTTAAAACTGCGACATAGGCAGGCGCACTTGACAAGCGACGTCAACTTTTACATTTTATTGAATCAAGAATTGACATCACTACATTTGGGGCATTCCTACACGAGCTGCGTCACCTCTATGGCTTAAGAAGAGTCGACATGATAATAGAACCAGTAACATCAACAGTTGGACAACGCTCAGCCTACTACACTTCTAATCACTTTTTAAAAAGTTCAACACAATAAAGAGATTTAAAATATTGATGCACAAATTTATTAAACGTACCAAAAACAATAGGCGTGGTACCAAAAACTGCCAATAACTGCCTTTTTTCCACTTATGCGCTGTAGGCAAGGACTTTGTGCCTGTGGATTTAAGGCCGCGTGGCTAGTGCACGACTGTACATGAGAGGTTTTTATTTTGTCCCCGACCCAAAAATACCCAGCCTTAATTAGGATTCGAAGCAGGGTATCCTGCTTGAGAGTCTAACGTTACAACCGTTAGGCCAGCCGCTCCTCGGGCGTGGTACCAAAAGTGTAATTTTGCTCGGCGAGTCAAACAGTGCCAATAAAATACCAACTGCGGCAGCTCTGCTGTGGTATACCCGGATTTTGTCTTAGTCCACATTAGGCTCATCTCAGACCAAATACAGGCAGAACTAATAATTATAAAATAAATGCAGCTCTGAGTATAGATGATTTTGAAACAGTTACTGAAAGACAGAAAAAAAAAAAAAAAAAAAACCAAACGAAAATTAGTCAGGAAAAGATTAGAAGAAAGTCATGCAAACCGTTAAAAGTTCCAACTAAAAAATGTCAAATAACTAATGAAATATATAAATCCCTAGCGATTAAAAAAAAAATAAATAAATAACAAACTGCAATCTGAAGTGACTTTATTTCACTAGAACAGAAGACACTACTGCCTGAAACCTTCCTGTGTGGTTTCAATGGCCTCATTGGAGGGGGTTTGAGGGGACTGTGACGCGGGAATTACCCAGTGCTCCCTTACAAGCATGTCGTAAAAGTCGATTGAGGAATATTTCCTTCCAAGTCAGATTGCATCCAGGTGAGAGACAAAGAGCTACGACCGCGTGCAGATTAACCACTTCTGTAAAACAGATGTGTAGACAAAACTCAGATTCTAGGACTTCTTCTTCCTCTAGTTCGCCATCGCCCGTTGTAAACAGCACAAAGTTCTGGTTGTTCATCCACCTCTGGACTTTAGACATGTTCGAAAATCTAAATCTTGCCTGGAAATCCGTTTTACAGACAAGGTACTCATAGCGAAAAGTATGGAATGCCTACAGAACCACCTAAATCAAATCAAAGACAAAGGGGAGGAATATAATATGAGAAAGAAAAAAAAACACACACACAAATAGAGACAACTGTGATAGCTTTAGTACTTAGTGGATGACAGGATTATCCCGACGACATAGTGGATCAAAGGATCAGCTTGGCGACTCAGTGGATGACAGGATTAGCTCGACAACTGAGTGAATGACTGCATTAGCTTGAAGACTTAATGAATGACAGGATAAGCTTGATGACTTAGTGTATGACAGGATAAGCTTGATGACATAGTGTATGACAGGATTAGCTTGAAGACTTAGTGTATGACAGGATTAGCTTGTTAGTGTATGACAGGATTAGCTTGATGACTTAGTGTATGACAGGATTAGCTTGAAGACTTAGTGTATGACAGGATTAGCTTGACGACTTAGTGTATGACAGGATTAGCTTGATGACTTAGTGTATGACAGGATTAGCTTGAAGACTTAGTGTATGACAGGATTAGCTTGAAGACTTAGTGTATGACAGGATTAGCTTGAAGACTTAGTGTATGACAGGATTAGCTTGAAGACTTAGTGTATGACAGGATTAGCTTGATGACTTAGTGTATGACAGGATTAGCTTGATGACTTAGTGTATGACAGGATTAGCTTGAAGACTTAGTGTATGACAGGATTAGCTTGAAGACTTAGTGTATGACAGGATTAGCTTGATGACTTAGTGTATGACAGGATTAGCTTGAAGACTTAGTGTATGACAGGATTAGCTTGAAGACTTAGTGTATGACAGGATTAGCTTGAAGACTTAGTGTATGACAGGATTAGCTTGATGACTTAGTGTATGACAGGATTAGCTTGAAGACTTAGTGTATGACAGGATTAGCTTGATGACTTAGTGTATGACAGGATTAGCTTGAAGACAGTGTATGACAGGATTAGCTTGAAGACTTAGTGTATGACAGGATACGCTTGACGACTTAGTGTATGACAGGATTAGCTTGATGACTTAGTGTATGACAGGATTAGCTTGATGACTTAGTGTATGACAGGATTAGCTTGATGACTTAGTGTATGACAGGATTAGCTTGATGACTTAGTGTATGACAGGATTAGCTTGATGACTTAGTGTATGACAGGATTAGCTTGATGACTTAGTGTATGACAGGATAAGCTTGATGACTTAGTGTATGACAGGATTAGCTTGATGACTTAGTGTATGACATGATTAGCTTGAAGACTTAGTGTATGACAGGATTAGCTTGATGACTTAGTGTATGACATGATTAGCTTGATGACTTAGTGTATGACAGGATACGCTTGATGACTTAGTGTATGACAGGATTAGCTTGATGACTTAGTGTATGACAGGATTAGCTTGAAGACTTAGTGTATGACAGGATTAGCTTGACGACTTAGTGTATGACAGGATTAGCTTGATGACTTAGTGTATGACAGGATTAGCTTGATGACTTAGTGTATGACAGGATAAGCTTGATGACTTAGTGTATGACAGGATTAGCTTGATGACTTAGTGTATGACAGGATTAGCTTGATGACTTAGTGTATGACAGGATTAGCTTGACGACTTAGTGTATGACAGGATACGCTTGATGACTTAGTGTATGACATTATTAGCTTGATGACTTAGTGTATGACAGGATAAGCTTGATGACTTAGTGTATGACAGGATTAGCTTGATGACTTAGTGTATGACAGGATTAGCTTGAAGACTTAGTGTATGACAGGATTAGCTTGATGACTTAGTGTATGACAGGATTAGCTTGAAGACTTAGTGTATGACAGGATTAGCTTGATGACTTAGTGTATGACAGGATTAGCTTGACGACTTAGTGTATGACAGGATTAGCTTGATGACTTAGTGTATGACAGGATACACTTGATGACTAAGTGTATGACAGGATACGCTTGACGACTTAGTGTATGACAGGATTAGCTTGAAGACTTAGTGTATGACAGGATTAGCGTGAAGACTTAGTGTATGACAGGATTAGCCTGATGACTTAGTGTATGACAGGATTAGCTTGAAGACTTAGTGTATGACAGGATTAGCTTGACGACTTAGTGTATGACAGGATTAGCTTGATGACTTAGTGTATGACAGGATTAGCTTGAAGACTTAGTGTATGACAGGATTAGCTTGATGACTTAGTGTATGACAGGATACGCTTGATGACTTAGTGTATGACAGGATTAGCTTGAAGACTTAGTGTATGACAGGATTAGCTTGAAGACTTAGTGTATGACAGGATACGCTTGACGACTTAGTGTATGACAGGATTAGCTTGATGACTTAGTGTATGACAGGATAAGCTTGATGACAGTGTATGACAGGATTAGCTTGAAGACTTAGTGTATGACAGGATTAGCTTGATGACTTAGTGTATGACAGGATTAGCTTGATTACTTAGTGTATGACAGGATTAGCTTGATGACTTAGTGTATGACAGGATTAGCTTGAAGACTTAGTGTATGACAGGATTAGCTTGATGACTTAGTGTATGACAGGATTAGCTTGAAGACTTAGTGGATGAGAGGATAAACTAGTCGTCTAAAAGAATGACAGGATTAGCTTGACGACTTAGTGAATGACAGGATTAGCTATGAGAAGATTAACTTGACGACTGAGTGTATGACAGGATTAGCGGTACGACGCAGTGGATGAGAGGATTAGCTTCATGACTCAGTAAATGATATGATTAAGCATTACAGGAATGACGGGATTCACTTTTAGAGTCAAGTGGATGACGGGATCATCTTGACGACTCAGCGGATGACGGGATCATCTTGACGATTCAGCGGATGACGGGACTATCATGAAGACTCAGCTGATGACGGGATCATATTTACACGTAGCGAATGACATGATTATTTTGACGACTCAGCGGATGACGGGATCATCTTGACGATTCAGCGGATGACGGGACTATCATGAAGACTCAGCGGATGACGGGGTTATCTTGATGACTCAGCGGATGACAGGATTATCTTGATGAGTCAGCGGATGACGGGATTATCTTGATGACTCAGCGGATGACAGGATTATCTTGACGATTCAGCGGATGACGGGAGTATCATGAAATCTCAGCGGATGACAGGATCATCTTGACGACTC